GTACGCGCTTTTCATAGCCAGTATCAGTTTCTGGCACCAGTTCTCATTATTTGGACTTGAAACTCATTTTACAAGTCCTATATATTATTCTAGTAATTATCATACACTTATTATAATTTTCCGGGATACTTTTTCGGTACACATTTATACCGACTAGCAGAACCGGTATCTGCACTTTTCTTCCAAAAAGTGACTTTCAGCATTCTTAATCACTTATCATAATTATTAAAGCCTCTTAATAATTATTAGGGTTAATTATGGAATCATTTCCTAATTTAATATAATTAATTACTTAATTTCCTTAATTAACGGTGCGGGTTCTTACAGTTCAGCCCATGGCTGATGTTTTAAACATAATTATTCTAAACTGAAGTCCCATAGACCCGAGATTCAGCTCAGAGATAACGAATTGAACAAAAAGAAGAAACACTTATATTAAATTGAAAAACAGTTACAACAAAACATAAAAATGAAGAAGGTGGTTTGATGCTCGTGAGGAGTCTTAGGGGATGATACAGAACAGAGAAGAAGGGTTGTCACTTAACTACACTTACAGCTATATAAAACTAAACTACTAACTACTACTAAGTGATCTCTTCTTTTAGGACTTTCAATCCCTCCAGAATTCGATGATGTTTTTATGTTTGGGATATCCTATTTATAGGCAGTAGAGAGAGTGGCAGTCTTGTAAATCCTTTGGAGTTGGTTTCTTAAATGAAGGGATGGGGCAGTGGCAACAGTGTTTAGAAGCTTTGAAGTTGCTTGATGGGACATTATTTGTTGATGATTAGCCATTTTCTGCAGTCCCCCCATGCCTTGCTTTCTTCTTAGCCAATGAAGAAGGTGGTTTGATGCACCGCCTTGCTTTTTAGAAGACGTTGTTTCCACGTTTCTTGCAAAATGAGAAGAGCATTAAATGAAGGTAGCAGGTGTAATAAATGCTCTCAATCCGTTCCCCTTTTAATATGTTTTCAAAGGAATATGTCATCAAACGTTCCCCCACTGTGTTTTTGTCACAAATGTGTAAAACGAGTGATTTTCATGCTAAGTTGCTCATCATATGAGGGAACGTAAGGTATTTTGCCATCAAAATGGGCTTAGATGGGAACGAATTTACGTCCCATCAATGAGCATGAGAGCTTAAGCCTATTTTGCATTTTGTGGCCATTGGGCCTAGCCTAGACTTAGGACATGAACATTGTATGTGAGTTAGGATTATTCATATTGCCATCTTTGTTCATGTCATATTTGTCTAAGTTTAGTTATTATTTATCATGGTTTATTTTGGAGGATTCATTATGTACATTTGAAGGACTATTGTAATTATTGTAAATGAAGCATTGTAAATTGTAATATTGAGAAATTGTGTAATATTGAAGCATGCTATATGATGAAAGGGCAATAGGCCTATTCTAGGATATGATTTATGTTTTATGTCAAAAGAATGCATGCAAAGGAATTAATGTGGTTGAAACAAGTTAACTTGAGAAAGTAAGCATGGATTATGTATATTGAATAAATTGATATAAAATGTTAAGGGTTGTAAGAGAACCAAGGTATTGCTGGTCCTTGAGTGCCACCCATGTTTATTAGGTACCATTTGAGGATAGATAACACACTTTTAAAAGAGGGATATGTTGGAAAAACAAAGGAGACTCTGGTGAAATTTCTATAAAATGGCAGATTTTGAATGAACTTTGGGAGAGCATATCTCCCTCCACAGAAGTCCAATAGGGACGTGTCATACACCATTTTAAAGCTTGAGATGTAAACTAACTTTTGTCAAAAAACGAGAACCATCGGAGTAGCACGTTTTCCTGTAGAAGCCGTTGAACACAAACTACCCAAAATTCCCCTGCACTTGGGTCTGTCACTATTTGTTTTTGGGAAAATTATTCCCGCCTCAATTCTTGATCAAATTAGATGCATGAAATGTAAAATTGAAGCTTGAGAAGTCTAGTTTTTTTTATATAAATTTGAGAGAAATTTGTGGTGTGGTTTGTCCGGAATCGTGGAAAGAGTGAGGGCTGTTTGGAGCCCTGTTTGAGGTGGCTGGCAGATTTGCTTGTCCAACTTCAAACGGTGATAACCGGAGCAAACAAGAACTTTATGAACCATGTGATAGCTTGTTGAAAAGATAATTAAGTATAGAATAACATACTAAAAGATGGGAGATTCACGACATGCGGATTTTCTGCAGTATTTAAATGACTGAACCATGTTCGGATAGGTAGAAAAAAAAATGAGATTTATGCTAAGTGGGTTTATGAGAACCCCTAAATGACTTGAGGGAGTATTATATGATATTTAGACATTTGTTTTAATTATTCCGCAATTAGTTTTCAGTTACGGTCACAACTTTTATTTATTACGCTTTATTATTGTTTTAAAATGCTCACGTAATAAAAAGGAAAAAGTTTACTCACATTCTTATAAATGAATTGCTATAATTGTAACTGCGCTTAATATCATAATCAATGCTAACAATACCGGAGTACAACGGGCTATTACATTTTATGGTATCAGAGCAGTTTACTAGGGAACTCTGATTATGTATGACTGTATTTTGTGTTGCATAGTGATGTGCCTATGGCAAGTGTGATTTTCTGTGTTAAAATTGATAAGAATTGAGTCATAAAAGAGCAACTTAAATACATATTTGCTAATTATATTGATTCTTTCTTTTCAATAATATTTCTTACCTATTGGTTGTGTTTTTACAGGAAAAAGAAGTTAAAATTATAAAAACACAATTCTACACGGGTACAGCACACTACAAATGCCAGAGAAATAGCGCAACTTGGCGCCACAGTGGCGCAAGTTAGCGCCGTGCAGCACACTACAAATTCCAGGAGAATGGCGCTGACTGGCGCCAAAACGAAACCAAGTAGCGCCGAGGAGCAAGTGGCGCTCAGTAGCACCAAAATGGCGCCAACTGGCGCCACATTCATCACCAAAGTCATGGCGCCATGTAGCGCCCAAACTAAGGAGAACCGGCGCCAACCAGCGCCGAAATGCAGCATACATTGGGCAGGAAGATGGCGCTAAGTGGCGCCACACCGGTGCCCACTGGCGCCGGTTTGCGAGAAAACTACTCCGTCTTGTTCTCTGGGGGTATTTTTGAGAAAAGGAAAAGAGTCATATAAATAGGATCCTTATGACATAATTAGGGATTCAGACCTATTCTTCTGAAGAGAGACGACGGCAGATCTCTGAGAGGATTCCTGGGATCAAGTTCTTCTTCTCCTTTCTCCTTAATTTTATGCTTTTGAATATTGGATTATTTTTAGCCATGATTATGCTTGGCTAGTTATCTTTTATTGTAGTTAGGGTCACGAGCCCTATGTGAACCCTTGTTACGATGGATTGATTTAGTTTTACTCATTTATATAATTATCTTTATCTCTACCTTGTGCGTATTTTCTATTTTCTTTATTAGAACTGATCAATCTGATAGTTGAGAATAGTTTGAGGGTTAGAACCCTAGATAGGAATATTGGGGTTTTGATCTTGAAAGGGGGTAGGATAACAATTGGTATGCATGCTAGGAATAGATGTGTATTTAATTGCGGATGCTTAAATTATTGCGTTCATTGCTTAATACCATGAGGAACATTGCAAGGAATTGGGGTTCTAATTGGGGATTAAAGGGTTAACCTTGCAAGGAATTGAGGGTTAACTAATAAATATTCTTAGATAATAATTTATCCGAGTAATTATATGAATAAGTATTGTGAATAAATCCAAAGTAAGAAGTGGGGATCATAAGGTGAGTGCGCTCTAGCTACAATGTTTTTCTTATATTTTTAAAATTAATTCTCATTGTTATTGTTTTATTTCTCTTGAATAAAAATTCAAAAACAAGTCTTTACTTTTATTTCTTATTGTTAGTCAAAATCAATTCGCAATTTTTTCAAACAACAAACCGAGTTTTCCAACTTAAGGGGACTGGTTATTGTAGTACTTGGTTTACAATCCCTGTGGAGACGATACTCTACTTACTTTCTATATCACTTGTGCGATCGGTATACTTGCTGGAGAGCATCAAGTTTTTGGCGCCGTTGCCGGGGATTGCTAATTCCAATATTACAAATAACTGTTGATCTTTGGGATTGGATTTTTATTTTTATTTTTTTATTTTGTTCCATCTTATTTTGTGTTTGCAGGTGCTACTAACAAAATTTTCTGAGTTTTATGCGAGGTAGACTTCCTCCTACAGACTTTGTATTTGATCCAGAAATTTCAAGGACTGAGAGGAGACTGCAGAAAGTTGCCAAGCAGATAATTTGGGAAGAATTCAAGAACATACCTTTACAACCAATACAAGAAATGACGGGTAACAACAATGCAAACAACCCACCTCTAAGATTGTTGGACACCATTCTTACTCCTTTGTTCAATAAGCCAAACTCAAGTATACTCAGGTCGACAGTGGAGGCAAACAATTTTGAGCTAAAGCCATCTTTGATTACTTTGGTGGAGAGGGCTCAATTTTCTGGTGCTGAGGAGGAAGACTCTCATGAGTTCATAGATCGATTTCTGATGATTTGTGTCACTACTAAGCACAATGGAGTGTCTGTCGATGCTATCAGGCTTCGATTATTTCCTTTTGCTGTTAAGGGAAGGGCTCTCAGATGGATAGAAAGGCAGCCGGCTAATAGTATTATGACATGGGAAGACTTATCAACAAAGTTCTTTGCCGAGTTCTTTTCTATGGAGAAGTACAACTAGCTGGTGAATGAGATCACCAACTTCCGCCAGCTTGAAGGAGAATCGTTGCGTGCAACCTGGAATAGATTCCCGGAACTTATCCGAAATTGTCCACACTATGAGGGAGATGATGACAGAAAGGTGGCGATCTTCTTTAATGGCATATCTCCTGAAATAAAGGTGTTGACTATAGTTCCAACAATTATCTGTAACCTCATCCTATTCCACAGAAGGAATTTTCTGATTTGGAGAAGTTAATTGGACAAATGGCTCAGCATTCTAATGCTTTCATGGAGGAGACTATAGCTAATACCAAGAACACAAATGCTTTCATGGAGGAGACTAGAGCAAATACCAAAAACACCAATGCTTCTATTAAGAACTCGGAGAATCAAATTGGCCAACTGGCTAAGCAATTTGCAGAAAAGAGCTCCAGGTACCTTCCCTAGCAATACAGTTACCAACCCCAAGGAAGATTGTATGGCTGTCACAACTAGAAGTGGTAAGGTGGTAGCAGCTCCAGAAAAGCCAAGCATAAATGTAGAAGCAGATAAGAAGCTTAAGGAGGTCAAGGCAACAGAAAAGAAGTGATAATTCCTTCTGATGTTGAGAAAACTGTTCAGAAAGGTGAGGAAGAAGAGCCACTTATTGTTGCTGAAAGGAAGAAATTTGAGTTGAATCCGGAATATGTGAGAGCCATGGCACCTTATCCAGAACGATTCAAGAAGGATGCTCAAAAGCAGCAATATGCAAGATTTCTTGATATCTTTAAGAAGTTGCATGTAAACATACCTTTTGCTGAAGCTTTGGCTAACATGCCCAATTATGCCAAGTTCATGAAGGACTTGTTATCCAGAAAACATAAGCTGCATGAATGCCAGACAGTCACACTCACTGAGGAGTGTAGTGCCATCATACAGAAGAAGTTTCCACCCAAACTCAATGATCCAGGTAGCTTCAATATTCGCATTGCTATTGGTAATACTGATGTTGGCAGGGCATTGTGTGATCTTGGGGCAAGCATTAACCTGATGTCGTTATCTGTTTGCAAATCTCTGGGAATTACTGAATTAAAACCCACTATGGTTTCACTTCAACTCGCTGATAGATCTTTGAGGAGACCGAGTGGAATTATTGAAGATGTTCTTGTTAAAGTGGACAAGTTCATCTTCCCAGCAGATTTTGTAGTGTTAGACATGGAAGAGGGTACTGAAATACCTTTGTTATTGGGTAGACCGTTCTTGGCTACTGCTCGAGCCATGATTGATGTTGAAAATGGCAAGCTTGAGTTGAGGATGAATGATGAGACCATCACCATCAACGTCTTTGACTCCATAAAACAATCTTCTGATAAAGGCGATTGTTTTCGACTTGATATTCTAGAGCAAGTGGTGGAAGAAGAAATACCTTCTAGTCAATAGTCTGAGGAAGAACTTGAAATGCATGAATTAGTTCCTTTGAAGGAAGAAAAGGTTGAGGTATTTGAAGTTCTTGAAAAGAAATATTCTAATAAGGAAGATGGTGCCCCAAAGGTTGAGTTGAAGGAACTTCCAAAAACTCTTAAATATATCTTCTTGGGTGAAGAGGAGACTTACCCTGTTATCATTAACAAGGGGTTGTCTTCTGAGCAAAAAATCAGACTGATTACAGTATTGAAGAACCATCAGACTGCTATAGGATGGTCAATTTCTGATTTGAAGGGTATTAATCCCTCATTCTGTACTCATAAAATCCTCATGGAGGAAGAAGTTCGACCAGTAAGGCAGCCTCAAAGGAGGCTCAATCCAACAATGAAGGAAGTTGTAAGGAAGGAAGTTGTGAAACTTCTTGATGCTGGTATGATTTATCCAATTTCGGATACTGCTTGGGTAAGCCCGGTGCAAACAGTTTCGAAAAAGGGAGGTATCACTGTAGTCCACAATGAGAAAAATGAAATGATTCCAACTAGAACCATTACTGGTTGGAGAATGTGTGTGGATTATCGGACGTTAAATACTGCCACAAGGAATGATCACTTCCCACTTTCTTTCGTTGATCAAATGTTGGAAAGATTGGCGGGTCACAATTACTACTGTTTCTTGGATGGATATTCTGGGTACAACTAAATTCCAGTGGCACCAGAAGACCAGGAGAAAACAACATTCACCTGCCCTTTTGGAGTCTTTGCTTATAGACGGATGTCGTTCGGTCTATGTAATGCACCTGCCACATTCCAGAGGTGCATGCTCTCCATCTTTTCTGACATGGTGGAGAAAAACCTTGAGGTATTTATGGATGACTTTTCCGTTTTTGGCTCTTGTTTTGATTTATGTTTGTTGAATTTAACTCATGTGTTAAAAAGATGCCAAGAAACAAATCTTGTACTTAACTGGGAAAAATGTCATTTTATGGTACAAGAAGGAATTGTCTTAGGTCATAAGATATCTGAAAAAGGGATTGAGGTAGATGAAGCAAAATTAATGTTGATTGAGAAACTTCCTCCCCCTAATAATGTGACTAGTGTTAGAAGTTTTCTAGGACATGCTGGGTTTTACAGGAGATTTATTAAAGACTTTTCTAAATTAGCTAAACCTTTGAGCCAACTTTTAGAAAAGGATTCTGAATTTCAATTTGATGATGCATGCCTTAAAGATTTTAATCTTTTGAAAGAAAAGCTCACTACAGCTCCCGTTCTTGTAGCTCTTGATTGGAGTTTACCTTTTGAGGTCATGTGTGATGCTAGTGCCTATGCTATAGGTGCAGTCCTTGGTCAACGTAAGAATAAATTGTTACATGTCATATACTATGCTAGCAAGATTTAAAATGAGGCACAAGTAAATTATGCCACGATTGAAAAAGAAATGCTAGCAGTAGTATATACCTTGGACAAATTTAGATCTTATTTGTTGGGTTCCATGGTAATTGTTTTTACTGACCACTCTGCTATCAAGTACTTGATGAATAAGCAGGATGCCAAGCCCCGATTGTTAAGGTGGATGCTCTTATTTCAAGAGTTTGACTTGGAGATTTGAGATAAAGCTGGAGTGGAGAATAAGGTGGCAGATCATTTGTCACGCATCCAGGAGAAAGGATTACAAGATGGTCCTGAGAGAGAAATAAATGACCATTTTCCTGATGAAAGAATGATGGCTATATTTGTACCCCCTTGGTTTGCAGATATAGCCAATTACAAGGTGATAAAAGAGTTGCCTCCCAACCTTACTAGGCAACAACAGAAGAAGTTCCTTAGAGATGCAAGGAGATTTCATTGGGATGATCCTTATCTGTATTTCCAGTGTGCTGATGGAATTATAAGGAGGTGTGTGCCAAAATTTGAAGTACATGAGATCCTGTGGCACTTCCATGCATCAGATTACGGAGGACATTTTGGAGGTAATAGAACTACTTAAAAAGTTTTACAGAGTGGTTATTATTGGCCTACGATATTCAAAGATGCAAGGGATTATGTGGAAAGATGTGATAAATGTCAAAGAGTTGGAAACATTTCCCGCAAGGATGAAATGCCTCTAAATAGCATATTAGAGGTAGAACTATTTGATGTATGGGGGATA